AGCCCAGCCCGGAAGTGAATTATACAGAGTGTAAACATCAGGAAGCAGGGGTCATTGGGAGGCACCTGAGAGGCTGGCTGCCACATATCCCTACTTCCTAAAACAATAAAGAAGCCCAAACAACACTGTTGGACTATACCAACTGGTGGCAGGCAATTCAATCTAGGTGCTGTGGCCTAAGATTTTGATGGGTGGTTGGTTAGGTAACCAATATTCAATTGCTTTAAGTTTCCCAATACTTCGAGTTCAGTAACTGTACTAACCATCAAACTAAGAATAAAAATCTGAGTGTTTCAACTAGTCATCAGACTGAAATGTGACTATAGGCATGGGACTGTCTAATGGTAACATGGAAATGACACAGATACTTTGTTGTTTAACCACCATTCCTGTGCTTAGAATTAGCCTGGTGTCTTACCCATGAGCGGCGAGAAGCCCGATCTCAGCCTGGCACAGGTCTGGCTGACCCTGTTTGGTACTTCTTTCTCCCACACCTGTGTAACAACTTTCCCTCTCTCTGTTTATCTTGCCCGTCTTTGCTTTGTCATGCAGTTCTGAGTGCTATAGTCACTATGTATTTACTTAAGGGTCTTTTCTACTGCTCCTACTGTTTCCCTCCATGACATGTTCCAGTCACACAAGATCTTCAAACACACGGTATGCTTTCATGTTTCTGGGCCTTGACGTATGCTTTGCCCTTTTTCAGGAATGTCATTCCTGGGTTCTTTTCTTTTTGACAAACCTCTTTTTGGCTTTCAAAACCCTGCTGAAGCATCATTTCTTTCTAAGGAAATTGCCCTAACTCCCCAGGACTTGCCTGACCTATGGCACGCCAGAAGAGAATGATTATTCTTCTACCTGGGTTTATTGTTAGAATTTGTACTTGTTTCAACTTCTAAATTATTCTTAATTACTGAGTTACTTTTTATACAAGGGTAATTTTTCCCCCTAAACTATGATCTCCTGGAAGGCAAATCTTACTTCTTAGCTACCTATACATCCAACATCTGTCCTCAATGCTTAGGCTATAATAGACATTCAATAAACTTTTCAGCAAGTGAATCAAGGAGCCGAGAACGTGCATATATGTACAAGCAATACATTGCCAAGTGAGAGATAAACGTTTTAACCTATAATACGTTTCTGTTTATATCCTATACTTGGTATACTCCATCCATCTGTGGGTGGTTCCATTCCCCATGTGCCATACTGCTGGGTTACCTTAGTCTTTAGTACTTTTAAGGATATTTGCCTCTGCTTTTCAAGGGGTCACCTGTTTAGCAACCACTTTTCAGGTCTTTTGGATTCTAGAGGGATCATTCTAGTTATATGAAGAGAGATGGCAGCAGGATATGCTGATGAAATATGCAGGTTTTGAAATCTAAGAGATATATGGCTTGATATCTGATAAATGAGTGTACTTAGCTTCTTTGTATTAAGTAAACAAGGGACATACTACTTCAATCAGCTTTCTTTAGGGATCATATTTCTCAGGTCTTGAGTTTTCCTCAGATAGTTCATTGGATTACTTACGGAGGGTTAGGCAAGGATGAGAGAACTATGTTGGAGCAACTAGAGATTAGCAGGAGGAAGACATTACCATTCCTAAGGTGAAAGGACAAAGGCAGGAAATAATGTTATTTGAACCCAGTAAAACTGGAGTCCTGGAAGAGGGGTGGCTTCCAGGGCAGTATGGTGTGAATGATACAGCGAAGGCTGGGAATGTAGCCCAAGCTTGAAAGGCACGGGGCAGAAATACCTTCACTTCTTCCCCATCTGACCCTCTGATCTGCTGCTGGTGTCAGCCCTTGGTTAAACCACAATGGCAGCAGGAAGCAAGTGAAGTCTGTGGGGTACAGCAACAGGGGTGGCTTCCTGGCACAGAGCAGGGCAGGGACAGCTAGAAAACGGACTGCAGGGCCAGGGACTAGCTACTTCGGAGTTTAACCTGCAAACACATAACGTACTTCTCACAGGACTCGGCACATGCTAAGTGTTCAAGAAACACTGTGAAATTATTACGGGTGCAAGGTCAGTGCCCTTTCTGGTTATAGCTGATGCCATCTTACACCTGTAAGCAGCAGCTGTGGGGATCTGCATTCATGGCTGGCAAAGCCTTGCTTTAGTGAGACTTGCTGTGTTTGGTCTGCTTAGTCTCAGCTGTTTCTTCTGACATCAAGGCCTTAATTATCTGGTCTCTGTTCTCATCTGGCTAATTAGGCTGTTTAACCTTATCCCCAGGTTTGGAGCAAGAAAAAATAATTTCTAAGCAGAGTTCTTTTGAGAAAACTGTCCATGTGGGCACCACAGATTCCTTCCCATATGGTCATCTTCAAAGATGTTCCTTTTCTTAACTAATGGACCAAGACAAAATGGCCATGTTAATGACAACTGTTTTGCATTCCAACTGCTGCTGCCCTCACATAAGATACAAAATTTCCTAACAGCTTAAAAATGTTTTTTAAAATCCTTCATCTTGTCAGTTTGGCAGGCTGCTGTTATTTCCTCTGCTTTGCTTCATCCCTGTCACTTGTGCAGGGTACTGGAGGATCTGATGCTCCCCGGCCTGTACTGCTGTAATCACTACTGTGATTGCCACCGTTTTCTTCCTTCTCTTTACCTGCTTTGGTCTCTCTTCACGTCTCCCGTCCTCCTCAGCATTCATGCTGGAAGGCTGACCTCTTACTCAACACTGCAGGCCAATCAAATGGTTCCTGTCCTCCCAGGACAACCTGATCAAGCACCACGAGCTGACTCTTGGCTGCTTCCTGTTACTGAGTGTGCAGGACCTGAGGTTTGTGAAGTCTGAATGTGATCACTAGCCTGCTCACCCTGCAGGAAAATGAGACTAGAGTTTAGTGTCGAGTGGGCTATGAACAAATGACAGTGAACTGGGTGTGGTTTCGAAAAGCAGGGGGCTTGTGGGCCATCTTACCTGGAAAACTCTTTGCCTCCTTTGGTGAAGGAAGCAAGGTGAACTAAGACGAAATATCGAGTCCTTCAGGAGATAGATGCCAGCATCTTTCAAAGAGCGGTGATGTTCTTTGCAACATTTTAAAACCAGTTTAAGTTTTAGATATCATTGGTTCTTACGGGTAAATTGAAACAAGACCAGATTAGTCTCTTGCATCTAAGATGTTAACTTCTTGAGAAATATATTCTTTTAGATGGACTGTACATCTCTAATGTGAAATACAATTAATGCTGAACATTTTATCAAGCAACATGCAGCAGACTCAGAGAGAAACAAAAACACATCCATGGGCCCTATTCTCAAAAGAACCGAAAGTCTATGGACAAAATTCAAAAATTACTAGTACAATTTAAAAGGCATATTTTATAAACCTAAATACTGGCTAAAAATAATTTGGCCTAAGTCATGTGGCCATTGAATACTTGTACTAGATAACATTAATGGTACATGGAGTTTATAAATTTTATCACTAAGACTCAGAAGTCTTAAGACTTTTGAGACCCACTTAGAAAATGTTGTGTATTATCAAAATTCAATCAAAAGTATAAACTGTATTAAAAGGACAGAGAGGATTCAATAAGAGTAAGCTCGGTTTTCAAAGTAAATTCTGGCTGGAAGTGGTGGCACATGCCTGGAATCTCAGCATTCCAGAAGCTGAAAAAAGGTCACAGTAAGTTGAAGACCAGCTTGCTACATGGTGAGACCCAGTCTTTAAAAAAAAAAAACAAAATGTGAAAAGAGCAAAGGAAACGATGACCATATTATAACAAATCAATTTTGATGCCATTAAGACATCTTCACTTAGCTCATCCAGGAAGTAGCTATGGCACATTTGCCTCAATTTAAACAAAGCTCAGCTTCTGAAGATCTGAAAAATTCTATAATGAATAGCAACCTTTATTATATACTGAAAAGGCTATAATTAAGTACACCAACCAAGGATAACACAGACCCTACTTAAATCCTAGCTCAGTGGTGGCAAGCTTACTGTATATGTGCCACAGTGAGTTGTAACGCTGAAAGGTCTAATAGGTTCACGTCACTGTCCTAGACAAATGAGAATACCCAGAACCTCTTGCCATAACCAAGAACAAAATTAACAGTAACTTACATTTAGGCATGGGTTTGAGTAGTGTGCAGTGAAGATCATTCTGGGAAGCATTAATCTTACTTAATAAAACCAGAAAGTCAGTCATATAATCCCTGTCTTAATTAACAGAAGTTCACCCACTTCCTGGTTAATCCCTAACATCAATATCCAATGCAGTGATGAAGACCATTAAAACCAAACTATTATTTGCTTTTTTTCTTGTAGGAATTATTAGTCCAATTATATAATAAGCTTAATGACACAAAATTTTCAGGGGCAGAGGGACAGAGATGTCAACAGCAAAGGACTACTCTCTAAACTTTTCACTATGAAAAATTTCCATTACTCATCTTGAAGGCCTTAAAAAAGTACCATTGGAGGTATGGGCTATAAAGCGCACCTGTAATTTTAAGTGCAGAGTTAAAGCTATACTTTAACCAAATACAATTTCTGACAATTATTATTCTAAAAATTAGTTGAAAAGGATGTGGGGGTGGGGATAATGTCCATTAGCAGTGAGTAAACTGTGATTCTGTCTAGCAATGGAATACTAGTTAGTAATAAGGAACAGAGTAAGAATACATTCAATCTGAGATTCTCAAAATACTGAGCACAGACACAAGAGCAAACAGATTGCACTTACATGAATTTCTAAAACAAGCAACACTGATCTCTGATTACAGAAACTGAACAGTATTTATGTAGGCAGTGGCTACCTGGAAAGGGGCATAATGAAATCATACAGAATAATGGAAGAGTTCTTTTTCTACTGGGCTGGTGCTTGCCAAATCTCATAAATTATAAATTGTCCCATTCTATTGAAGTAAATAATACCTCAATTAAAAAGTACTACTTACTGGATCCTAAAGTTTAAATAAAACCTATTACTAACAGAAATCATCTAATGAACCTTGCTATTATTAAAAACATAGACCATTCAGAAAGCAGATATAAAGCTTTAATTAATCGTGGCCATTTTTCTGACCATTTTTTATATTAGATATAAACTGTTTCATGTGTTTTCCCACAGATTCACCTTTTGTAAGACAGTGTTCCTATGAGGTACTGGATACAATACTAACATTTCTTTTAACTAGGGTACATTAAATATATCGTGAATCATCAAATATAAATACAGAAATTGAATACAGATGTTAGAAAGTTTAAATAAAACATAATTTTAATAAGCTAGATACCATGAAAGTTTACATGGATTGACATTAATTCTAAATCACATCAATGTGGCAACCAATTACTATTAAAATACAACTACTTTTAGATGAATACATTCAGATTCTAACACCCAATTAATTTCATTTCCACAATGTCAACTCCACATTTCATTTTCACTTCTACACAAAGTAGACCAGCTTCCCAACTTTTTGGAGGCTTGTAGGCCAAACTTCTTGTACGATAACAATTATCTTTATCATGGTCACAGGATGCCAAACTTGTATTTCCTATATTATATGGAATATATTCAGTATGCAACTATATTTGTATATAATATGGAACTCTCCAGTGGCGATGTTCAAAAGCAATTCAAACATTAGCTAAAGATGGGTTTTGCTACCACAATCACTATTTCATTAAAAGACAGTCTGCGTCAAAACATTTAGGAATAAATACATAGTACAGCTTTTCCCATTCCAAAATACTGCCTAAAAAACAGGTCCAAACTGACTTAACGTACAAAAATATCTCAGAAAACAAACAGCATAAGATATAATCTGAGCTGTAATTCCTAAGTCAATTTTCAATTGGAACAAATTTTGCACCCATTGATTTAATATGCATGGCCCACAGTATCCTGTAACATCTAGTTTGTATCCTGCAGAATTCTGAAAAGACTCTTCAATACTCAATTAATTATATAAGAAAAAGCTGATCATGTTTTGTATTAAACATTATGTGAATTTCAAATACAGTCTTTTTAAACAGGGGTAAGTGATGAAAATATATGCACAGCAGTACACAAAACACCATTAAACACAGGAAAATGTCATTTAATGCATATTAAGTAAACTCCCAAAAAGTCAATTTGAGTGTATTTATTTTCATCTACTTTGATACAATACTAGAAGGGACTGCATGTAATTATGGAGACTGCTGCAAACAACACTTGATGCTAGTAAGTGTTCTATTACATCAGGCATGCACAATAGTTACCTTTTATATTTCTCATGTATATATCTAACACATACATCTTAAGCAACATTATGTTTAAAGCCTTTAGGGATTTTAAAGCAAATATTTTAATGGACTTATGTCTAAGTAGGGAAAAATCACACATTTCCTCCCATCTCACTATCAAATGGTAACAGTAAGCCTTGGTAACTACCTCAAATATTTGAACTTAATCATGTCATTCTTAAAATTCTAACCGATAAAAATTCTTACCAGTACTAAGAAATATGATTTCTCAGCAGCAGTCTGCCCACTATACACGTACAGCACGCCTAATCTTTGAGGATTACGTAAGAGCAATGTACCAGATGACAATTACTGAATAAATCAGTTTCTTCTTTTTATTCTGGGTATCATTATTTCACACCAAATTGAGTTTTTCACTAAAACAAGATAAAAAAAATATTTCTCCTTTGGTTAACAGCAACGTAAGAGTAGACATAACTAAAAAGCTTTACGCTCTCAGTGTGTGGAAAAATGAAGTATTTCAATCCATTAAGAAAATCAGAGTATAGGGGAATGGGTATAGTGTATTATTCCATCTAAGAAGCATTGTCACATAATAAAAAAAACACAAATTCAGATTGCTTGGTTCATGGTCATTTATGGCTTAAAGTATTAGATCTGAAAATCACAGGCTAAAATAAACTTACGTAAATAGTGCATAGATTATATATTCAGAAAGTCATGCAATAAATGAATGTTCTCATGTACATTAGAATCTTAGTGAAGAAAGGGATCTTCAGGTGTGAATAGTAATATTTTAACAAGAAAATACACATGGGAAGATCCTGGCTTTTGGCCTATTCAAGATTATATTTGCCAGAGTCCTGATTTTTTCAGATGGTAAAAAGAAGTGTCAATGCCTTGACACCTGCAATAAGAAGCTGACTTGCCTCAAGTGTAGGTGCTGTGAGTCCAAACTAGGCAGAACCAGACACTCAGGATCTCATCACTCTGCTGCAAAGTCAGTATGAACTACCTACAGTATTAAATGGGTAAATGTTTAGAATGACTCACTAGAAATGTTTATTATGCTAGCATCTTTTAAAAATTCTGCCCTTTCATTTGAGAACTGCCAGGTAAGAAACACTCACTATTCCTGATTTTGATATGCCCCTACAACATGAGAGTTGAACTGAACCACAATGATTGTAATGTCATCTCTGTACATCCGAGCAAGTTCTTCAGGAAGACTAAGCATTTTGGACAGGCGTTCATGATCAACAGTCCCAAACTCGTTGTTGCCTACAGCATGGCGAATGAGATGGGTCGCTGCATTCTGATCCTCAAATACTGAGGACATCTTGGCTCTCCTTTCTGTTAAAAGACCATGCATCTGTCCCAGAGTCACCTTGTAGCCACCAACAGCTATTGGTTGTTGGTGATGCATACCAGTTAAGTACTCACCCACAATCTTAACCACATCATGCCTATGCATGGTCTCCCATAACCCATCTGTAGCCAACACCAAAAATTTATCCTGGGGCCTTAATCGGTGATAAGTTACCTCTGGCTCAGCAGTGAGATAAGGAGGTGTGTGGTAATTAGGAGGGATAAACTTAGTATATTCATTGTCGTTCAACTGGTCTGGGCCAGATTCTATCACTCTCTTTTGAAGGTCAATGCTCCATTTGAACTTTACATCTCCAAAAGCCCTAAAAGGCATCAGCAAGCCAAGGAGCCGATCCTGTTTCACCACACTCTTGGCCTCATTCTTCGGGTGTTCCAATTTCAGCCGTTCCACTTCTCTTTCATTCTGAGCATTGTGGTCATTAGAGAGCGTGACTGCTGACCAAGAGCCGTCCTCTTCCTGCACACCCAGCATGGCTCTGCTATCCCCAGTATTGGCCACGTGAAGGTCTACACCATCCACATGGGCCACACAAGCAGTGGCCCCAGAAAATGCCACCCGAAGCACCAGGTAATTGAGGAAAGAATTAGGATCACCAACTTGAGCCTCCAAAGAGATGTCATTATCAAGTCTCTTGAAAGCATTTATTAAAGCCTCCTTCACATCAATATCAGCTGACTCACCAGTGTTGAGGTCTATAAGCTCTTGCCAGTAAGTCCTCAAGCTGTTGAAGTACAATTTTGATGCCTCCTTACTGAAGTAATCGTTGGGGTGCTTGTGCCACTGGAGGATGGGCAGTAGTGCCCGACCACTCTCCACTGCATTTTCAATCTCTAGCAAAGTCTCATGGGGTAACAAAGAGACAGCAATGTAATAGAAGAGTCTTTCACTGACTGCCTGGGAACAAGCACACCCTGCATGGCCATCAAAAACCCCCAAAAGCATCCCTCTGGTCTGCAAGCAGGTTGCCGCACTTCTCCGGTCCTCAATGGGTGCATTTGCAGGCAGCTGATTGCTGTCAAACCCAAGGATGGAACTGACATTTTTGCCATCAAATTCTGGTACTTTGAAACTGTATTCATTAGCTTTAAGGATACTGTTGACTTGGGGAGGTGTGAGGTAAAATTTCTGTGGTGTGGAAGCGTATCTCCTCCCTTGGGTATATTGCCACCAGCTCTCTTTTGGCCTACAAAAGGTAGCATATGCTGGATGGGGCGTGTATCTCAGACGATTCTGGGAAAGGTAGGGTGATGAACAGCAGAGATGTTTGTGATGGCAGTAACATGCAGTGCCATAGATTCTGCTCACTTCACAGTTACGGACCAGCGGAAAGAACAGTTGAGTCGGTGCTGGCATGGCATCGGAGAACAGTGGCAGGCTGGAACTTCTGACTGGGATTCCTGGACAGCAAATTAAGACAGATGCACATAAAGAAAAGAGTTATACTTCAGGTTACTGAATTTATCTCTGCTTTTATAGGAAATATTTACTAAGTCAGTTTACGTGCTAAGCCCTGTGTTAGGAAGTACCATAATTTATATACATCATACACTATTTGTACAAGGTGTGTTATGATAATTAATAAAACTAATCATTCATGAAGCCTGGACTGAAAAGTGAACTTACTTTTCTCTGTATTTCTTTGTGCAGCACAAACTGTACAGAGATTTGGCCAGGAAAAGCTGAGGAAATGAAAGTTATACAACATTATGCCGCAGTAGTCTACCTGGCCAATCCTCGTCCCTCTCTATCCTTTTTGGAAAAGGTCTTAGATTTTTCACTTTTTTCAATTTTTGAAAACTCAGTTTTGAGATTTGTAGTCAACTGCTGGCATTTGATTACATGCAACAAAAGGTGTTAGGATACATCCTCAACTATGTATATTTATATGTTATTTGTAAATTATATACATGTTTATTAATATTGCATTTACTATAGCATACACGAATTCTCCACCTAATGAAATAAAAATTTCTTCCTGTACTTCAGTGAATGATCTTGCAAAGCCTACCTCTCCAAATCACCGTGCCACCAACTCACCAAGTAATCCTGGAAAATACAGTTCGCCTCAGTGAGTCTCATTCTCATACATTATACATGAACTACAGAAGCTGATGTTCTCTAAGGTCTCTTCTAGGATTCATGTCTTTATATTTGTTAAGGCTTTGAAATCAAATTCACATTTCATTTATTCATTGCTGAATTATATTGTGCCCTTTGTGATAAAAACAGTATTCTAGTAGGTCTACAGCTTTGCTAGTAACATAAATAATCTTAGTTCTAGAATTCAGTGTACTTGCTACCACTGTCCTCTGCTTAGCAGTCATAAGAGAAAGCTACAGAAATATTATTTTTAACTACTACGGACTTCAAGGGGAATTTACTTCCAAAAAAAATTGTGTCTTATGTCTTATATTAAGAAAAAGATCCGAATTTTGTCTAAGGAGAACAATCAAGAATAGTCACACAGTAGGTTTGGATTATAAAGGGGTGGCATTATAATTACAAATTTTTAAAAATCACATGACACTGAAAATAATTTGCTGGGAATTCATGTGGAAAATTTAATGAATGCAAGTCATTATCCTGAATAATATGTATGTGATTTAAAAAAACCCTCTTATTCCTCAATAACAATTTTCTCTAAATTCTTAAAATACTGCTTCAAATTATTCATTGGATTATAGACTTTAATAATATTTTAAATAAATATAGTAAACAACAAAGAATAAGGAAAATAAAATCATTTGAGTCTTATAAACTATTGTTTCCAGGGGTTGAACCAATGAAGAGAAAAATTTACAGATATCATAGTGTTAGTGATGTACTGTATTTCCATGCACCTATTCTATGAGAAATGTTAAGTGGCAAGTAGGGAAGCAGAGAAACTAAATACTGAAAAAAAAATCACTTTCTCGTTTGCTGTCATAATGTGCACTTTTTAAACCAGTTATACAGATCACCATTTTCAAGTAGTAGAAAATACCATTATTAAACTGTGCAATGTAAGAAGAAATTTGTTTATAAAAATGAATACAGGATCAGGCAATAGAAAGTAATGACCAGAATTCTGAAAGTAAGTATCCATAACTCAATAAACATCCTGGAATGCAGGTGCAAAACAGAAATTCCAGAAAACCAAGAACCTACCAGGACTAAATAACAGCACTTAAATAACAGCACTTCAAACTGAATACCTGAAAGTCATCCAAAGGTTACGGGACTGAGCCAGGAGATGTGCTCAAGTGTTGGAAAACATGACACTGGTCTCCAGATGCAAATCCTAGCTCTTTTTAGGTTTGCATGCAAAAAAACACATGAACTTACTTTTAACTGTGTAAAAAGATTTTTCTATTATTAAAAATGTGTAACAGATGTAATCTTAATAAAAATAAAATTTCCTCATAATCTCCTAAATCTCTATTTGTCTTCATCTGAAAACTTACAGGGTGAGAGGGTGATAAGTGCACAACAGGGTTTGTCTATATTATATCTAATCAAGAACAAGTCCAGCAAACCTGTTTTTTCCTTATTCCCTGTTTTGGCAATTTTTCTGCTATTATCATTGACTGCAAAACTGAATGAAGTTTGTGGCAAAAGAGCACAATTTACAGTGCAGGCGCGCTGAAGAAAATTTAAGCACTCAACTATATTTTTCCTTCAAAACAAAAGTACTGGAGATTTAAGACAAAAAAGCAAAGAGTGAAAATTTTCAGCTACATCTTCCCAGTTATTCTGAGGTTAAGCATATGGATTGAGAATCCTAATACCCCAGGCTCCTAACAAGCCTTCAAAAGACGAATTCTTAGGGCAATTGCAATTCATGAAAGCTCAGCTCTATGATTAACAAACATGATATCATATCACTACAAGTGGTATGTGCTGTGTATTCATTCCATCATACCGGATACCTTTAGAAGTCAATGTACTTTCAAATGCTCTGATTAACTATAAGTGAGCATTGAAAAACTATCTTTCTAAATATCTTCGGATCCAATAATAATGCTTACGCAATCAAAACTTTTGCTGATAAACTTGCTAAATTAAAGTAGAAGGTGCTTCATTGTGCAGTAAAAACAATGTATAATTTTTGGTGCAGTGTCAATTTTTTAAGTTATTTCTAACTACAATTTTGCTGAAGTTCCTACCCCATAATCCAGAGTCGGTCACATAATATGCAGCATCACACTCCTAGGCAGATTTGGCTAATTCTGCCAATGACTAAGAAGAAAAAATGTGCTGCAACCAGATACAGGAAAGAGCCCCATCCATTCTTGATGCGATCGGCAAAGCCTGTGCCAAGACATTATTCTATTCATCAAAAAATCTGCGGTCAAATTAATTAGAAATTGCTCTCAGTGCACCTACTCTGGAGCTAGTTTGCTTTGCAAAGCTTCTGATGCAAATGAAAAACAAATGTTAATCACTAAATGTGTCAGAATCTCGGTTTATGTAATCTGATTAAACACTGCATAAAATATTTTTTCTATTTTTCAGCATTTTCTGGAAATGCCAAGTGGTTTCACAGCTCTTGTCTTTACATGAATGAAAAACTGGTTTCCTTTAGAAAGCACGAAGCGCCCGGCCAGCACTTGTTTGATCAGTTTCCTTTGTCCCTACCTGAAAATCGCACTTATTAAGGCATCAAAGCTATCCCGCTCCAGGACGCCTTTGTCGTCGTCTTCTATCTATCTTGCTCTTAAATCCGTGCCGACACACCTAACATCATGCACACACAAAATCAGTCATCAACCTCCCTGGGTACCCAACGCAGGTAGTTAAGTGGATACCTACCAATTCGTCTGGGCCCGGGACACACACACATTCTCCTGTCATCACAACACGGAGCCGACAACATCCACAACCCGCGCGGACAGCAGCAGCGACAGCAGCACCGGCCCATTGAAAGCAAGGCGGAGATGCTCATTAGAGGCGGCGACGGCGGGGAGGCGGGAGCAGAGGAGGGGCGAGGTTTCCCGCAGCCCGGGAACGGGCTGGGAGGGGGGAAGAGGATGGAGGAGGGAGAAAGGGGTGGGGAAAAGGAAACCAAACAAATAAACCCACCCCGCCGGGGAGGCAGAGTGCGCCCCAGCCCCTTCGCGGAGCCCGGGCGCAAAGCCCACGAGCGCGCGCCATCCTCCGCCCCGTCCGGCCCCACGCGGCCGCGGATACGCCCGAACCCCCCCTCACCGCCGGTGACAGTGGGCGCGCAGAGCCCCAGGACCAGCCGGCAGTACAGTGGGCCCGGCCCGCACCGCACCCGGAGCCCACGGCAGCGCGCAGCGCCTTCACGCCCGCGCCGCAGCCCTGCACACGGCGAACACCTGGCGCCCTGGGCCCGGCCCGCGCGGCCGCCGACGGCCCGCCCTTCGCTTGCCAGCGGCCGTCGAGTCCCAACCCCGACGCCCCCTCACAACTTCGGCCTAGGGGACAGGACCCTGGACGGGGCGGCTGGGGTCTGGGAGTGGAGAATACGAACCGGGCACAGCGGAGGCCAGCCGCTTTCTCGCGACTCTCAGGCGGCGGGGCACCCCTCGGGCGCTCCCTCCCTCCCGCAGCCGCGCGCAGCTACCCGGAGCGCCGAACCCCGCCCCGGGTCGCCCGCTCAGCGCCCTTGCCCCGCCCGCGCGCTCCGGCCCAAGCGCGTCTCGTCTCCTGATTGGCTGCTCTAGGGCGAGTGGGCGGGGGAGACGGAGAGCGGGCCGCCTGCAGGGCGGGGGCGGAAGAGGCGCGCGCGGCCTGCCAATTTTGTGACGTCACGGAGGTCAGACAATCCCTTCCATTCGGAGCCCGCCGCCCGTTGGCTCCTGATGCCTGGCCACGTGACCGCGCTCGCGGGCAAGTGGAAGGTGGACCTGAGCTGGGCTTGGTGGATGCTCCCGTGGGGCGGAGGTGGCGATGACTGTGCTGGCCGCTAGCCGGGGAGGGAGGAAGCTCTGGGTTGGTCCCAGCGTCTCTGTGCGCGTGGGGCGCCGGGGACTGGCTGTTTCCCCAGCAGGCGAGCTTCCGCGAATCCCTGGCGCCTCGGTGGGGGACTCTGGAGCGCTAGGTCGGCCTGACCGCAGGTCTGTGCTTGCTGCCCCGGCTAGACTGCGGAGCGACCAGGCTTCCCGCAGTCCCTCCCAGCCTGTGATGGAAAGCGCGAATGAATTTCGAGTTTGTCTCTTGCTTCATTCATTCACCACAAGTTGTAGATGAAAGCATGAGTCGGGTGTTTTCTATCTTTTGGGGGAGGGCGCATCTCAGTCCCAGGGAGAGGCAGCTGGTCTGAACAGCTTCAAGGGGCAACTTTGATGAAAGAGTTGTTTCCCATGTAGAACAGGTGTATGGTCTCCTCCCTTGAAGGACTTTGAAATGAGTTTCGTCTGTCTCATTTGTCTTAATTGGTTGCAAGGGAAAGGAGTAGGATGCATCTTGCAAAAGTGAAAAGAGCCCTTGCAGTGATTCTCAGTGATGGATGCATTTCCCTGCCATGAGACTCAGCTTCTTCGTGTGAGCTCAAGTTAGGCTTAGGTTTGTCATTGGCCTTGCATGTGACACTTATGGCACTTCACGTACCTCCATTCAGGCTTAATGAGACAATGGCTTCTAAAAACTGCTTTACTTCCTGCCATTCATTTACAGATCCCTACTTGTGTGATACTGTCTTCTAAAAGTTTCCTTGGAGGTATCAGGTATCAGGATCACTGCACTTCTCCTACCTAATGTTAACCAACAAGTTGACCTTGATTTATAATCTTTAGCACTTTACAAACCCATAAATTTTCCCAGGTTTTGTAGACTTGATTGTCATGTTAGCGATACTGTGCAGTTCTGTTAATTCTATCTGATTTTTGTAAGAAAGGAAAAATTCTATGTATCCAAACTATTTATTTAGAAATCCTGAGTCTTTCAAGCTGCCTCTTCTATCCTATAAGTACTTTAGTCTTTTTGTTATCCTCGGGAAATTCGTGGTTAGTATTCTGGCCTTCACTCACTTTACATAGGTCCATCAGACCCATCCCACCCTCAGTTTTGCTTATCAAATGAGCTTCTTATAAATTTGCAAGTACCTTTCATTGTTTTTCATTTGCTATTATCTCATTTGTTTTATCTGGTTTTTAATTTTCCCCTTGGCTTATCGAGGCAACATAAGGTGTGGCATAGTAACTACGGACCTAGCTGGAATCTGACCGCCTTCGATTTATCTCTGCAGCCTGCTGTATGGTTTTGGACAGCCTCTACTGTGCCTCAGTTCTCTCATATGTGAGATAAAAAATAAAAGTAGGAATAACTCAAAAGGTTGTATTGAGTTGACATATATACAAACATACACACACATCTTGCTAACAAAGGTATGACTTTTAAAGACATGTCAGGTCAGTGTTTTCGATTAAGAACTTCAGAATAGGAGACCCATATCCTAAAGGACAGTATATTCTATAGCTATAGTTGTTGTTTGTTTTTGTTTTGAGACAGGGTTTCACTATGCAGTTCAGGCTGGCGCTCGTACTCACTACATGGCCTGGGCTGGTTTTCAACTCTGAGCAGTCCTGCCTCAGGCTCCTGAGTACTGGGATTACAGGTACCACCACTTCTGTCTTTAAAACTAGTGTTATTAATTGAATAAGAGTCTTGGAACCTTGGGATGTCACTTTAAATTACATGACTCTCACTACCTGTGAGGCCCTACTTCATAAGCATCGAGACCAGTTAACTGAGGCTAAGTGGATTGTTAAGAGTTCTTGCCTGAGTGTGTACCAAAGAAGTTGCTAGTAGACTTTTCTGTTGTCTATAAATGTTTTCCTAACAGTTATCAATATAGTAATGGTCTCCAGAACCTACATATCCATAGGAGATAACCTCTTCAAAGCTATCACCTTGGTAGCATACACCCTTGTTCAGAGCTCTTTTAAAGTTCTCTTTTCAAATTGTTTTCATATCTGCAAAGGTAACTCCAACTTGTACTATAATCAACTTTTTCATTTTATAGCAGAATAGTATTGATTGTCCCATCTTATTATTCTTAGTTCTGAATGATCTAGCTATTTCTTAAAATAATACCAACCTCATATTTGCCACCACTAAATATAGCCAAAAGAATTTGTCATCAAGATTGAATGCCAAAGTATTTCTGGAATCAGAATAAAACCTCTCCAAGGTGGTGGATTTGAAATAATCTTATTTAGAGGTGCAAGTTTTGTTCTCTAGTTGTAAAGTTATATAATTCAGTGCGTGCTGTAAATAAAGTTCCAGCTCTTCCACAGAGTTACCGATTGCTGGTACACTAGCAGAGGTTCCTTTGCAGCCCACTTTGACTTCCCTCTGGCATGGCCGTGTTCCTGTTTCTAGATGGACTTCCATGTGGCCACCCAAGGCACTTTGAAAGCCTTATTCATCTAGCTAAGGCCAAGGCCGTTCTTGAGTTTACTGTTCTGACCTCACAGATTGTTTTAGCCACCAAACACCTGTTGATACATCATCATTGGAAAGCGTTGAAAAGTAGCATTGAAACAACCTAAGATTGCTGTAGAGAGGGGGCAGGCGAGGAGGGAGAAGGGGCCTTCAAAAATAGTGTGATACAAAGACAGCACTAGGAAAAATACTGCTTTGTCTACACACATGCTTTCTGTGATACTAAAAACTGTGAGACAGTTCCTGGCTGTGACCCTTAACGTTTAGTCATTCTCTTAACAAACATAGAAATGAGAAAATGCTTGAGCAGATTGGCCTGCTGGTGTGGGAGGATGAATAGCTTCTTGGGGATATTGGAGGTTAGCTTGGGAAGTGCACAGATGATCCAGTAGCTTCAGTGATGCCAGCCAGGAAGCTTAAAATAGATCTGTAAGTGGGACTGAGATGCTATTAGTGTGCTGGTTGCTGACTTACTGTGGCCTTTGCCAAAATCGGCAATCAGAAGGAAGAGAGGCTAGTTTGCCACATTTCTCCTTACCTTCTGTTTTCCTATTGGTCTCAACTAGAATATCAGTGAGCAGTTAGTAAGCAAACCATCCGTGTTGAGTTGCTTCTTTAAAGTTTATTTACTTGGAACAATGCTGTAAAATTGACAAGTTATTTACATGGAAAAGGCAGAACATGTTATTGTGGTTTCCTTCAGACCAGAGGCTGTTCGAGGAGCTTTCACGTTGTCTAAATTTATATTTGAAATCTGTTATCAGATTTCAAAAGTCCGTAGACAACTGAAGGGGAAAATAAGTCAAACTTCATTGTCTCGCAAAATTAGGGAAAGAATCCTTTTGGCTGGTAGAGAGTTTCTGTTTATTCATTGACATGACAAAAAATAAGAAAAGTAGGTATCTAGGGTGGCTTAATAATAAAAGTTCAAGTCCTTTTAGTAAGAAGAATGAGTATCTGTGGATCTGAGAGTGGTACCTGCTGGTGCTTGTGGACTTACTTATGATGGTAAGTAACTTACGATGAAAATGTATTGAGTACCCCTAAATCTACTGAACCTTCTAACTTGCTAACATCATGCATTGAGTATAATTGTTTCGCCTTGTGATCATGCAGCTCACAGAGCCTCATCATGCTGTCATTGAGCCCCACTGAAAGAGAATATCATACCCCAGAACCTTAGTCCAAACAGAGGTCAAAATCCCAAATTTAAATATGGTGTCTGCTAAATCATATCAATTCACACCATCATAAAATTTAAAAATCATACACTGGACAATCATAAGGGATCATCAGGATTTCAAAAGTCCCTGTTAATGAGGATATCTTCAAAAATAAGAATGGCACGTGTAAGTGTGGGAGGGGGATGAAGAGGGCTTGGTATTATGGTGTTGCCATCAGGCAATCTGGCAAGGTTTTCATTCCATATAATTCTGTAGATTCATTCCCTGAAACACAGGGTAGAAGTGAGGGAAGGGCTCCAGGGTAGCTGAGACTTTGGGGACTGTCTAGATTGGGGTGTATTTACAATAGATGCAAGGTCGTGAGCGCCTCTGAAGCAGGTCCTGCCAATCTGTAAACTCCATCAGGAGTCCTCAAGCCATGACCTCAGAAATAGTAGCTGCTTATACTTCTTCAAAGTGACAGCTCTTTGCTTAACAGAGTATAAGATGTTCGAGGACAAGAACCATGACTCTTTTGTATACCAACGTGTATCAGGTAGTAAGTGTTTCCTTTATGCCATCTCCATTCTGAGTGCATTGCCTCAGTGCAAGATAGGTATTATCCTTATGTCCATTTCACAGGAGAGAAAACTGAGTCTCAGTAGGGGCAAATTGCCCAGGATTATATAAATCACAAGGGAGAGGACTGTCTACCCCCAGAGCTTACCCTCTAAGGCACTATGCCATAGTGACCACTACACAGCAAGTGTTTGGTAATGAATAAGTGAACTCAATTGAAATGAAGAAAAATGGAGCATACTGCCACAGGTGAATGCACTGAGAATATTTCATGAATGAATGTATGGATGAATAAACGTCACCTTTTCAAAAGATGTGATGTGACTCATGTAATTATACATTCATGGAACTACAGAATATCACATTTTCATCATGGATTTGAGGCAAACTACATCGTTAAATTTCAGGATTTCTACCCAGGCTTATTGTGTCTGTAACCAGCAATACAATTTGAATAGCTAAGTGTACCACTGCTTGACTAATTCTTGTGAGAACGTGCCAAGGTTCAGTTCTGGTTTCTCAGGAGAACCAGTTATTGCTCTAAAAGCACACTTTCCTCCGATACCAGATGTTATTTATAGATAAATATCTAATGTATTCAATTACATTCTACTGATAAACTGTAGTTCATTTTATTATATGGAGTTAAAAATCTGCCAAAACCTTTAAATTATTGTTCAACTTAAAATGCTTTTATTTTTAAGCAATATCAACTGGAGAGAAAACGTTTGTGGGGAAAGAAATGACAAAGGGGAACATTAACAATAGCAAGCCAAGCCTGGTGGCATATGCCTATAATTTTAGTACTTGGGAGACTGAAGCAGGAGGATTGTTGAGAGGCCAGCCTGGGCTACAAAGTGAATTGAAGGCCAGCCTAAACTGCATAGCAGAACGCTGTCTCAGACAAAAAAGTAAATAAATAAAAATTTAAAAATTACCCAGTAACTTCACCTTTTTTAAATCTAAGGTGTGATTAAGGATTAGGGGTAAGGTGACTGAAAATGCCAGATGATGGATGGCAAGCCATACCAAGTGTTAGGTCTTTTTGGTTTTCTATTATTGTTGTAATAGTTACCACAATGGAAGTGTCTTGAGAAAACACACATATTAGCTTTGGGTTTTGTAGATCAGAAGTCTGACTTGGGTCTCAGTGGGCTGGAGTGATGTCAGCAGGGATGTGTCCCTTCTGGAAACACCAGAGGAGAATCTGTTTTCTTTTACCATTCTCGACAGTGGCCATCATTCTTTCTTTTGGTTTGGTTTCTTTTGGGGGAGGGGTTGTTTGTTTGTTTCTTGGCTTTTTGAATCAGGGTCTTACTATGTAGATCAGGCTGGCCCTGAACTCACTTTGCAGCCCAGCCCAGGCCTTGAATTTGCAGCCACCCTCCTGCCTCAGCCTCCCAAGTTCTGAGATTACAGGCATGCACCACCCTGCCTGGCTTTGCATGACTCCTTTCTCTAATCTACAGTGAGCAGAATGATGTCTTCAAAGCATACTCAGACTCTAACTTCTGCCTTGCTTTATAACAGAACCTTCTGATTAGTTTCAGCCTGCTGTTAGAGTCTGGGATAGTCTCTTTAAAATGGACTGGTTAGAAACTTTGAATTCACATGTACCTTGAATTCTCCTTTGCCATAATCACAGGTTTTGGGAATTATGGTTTTGGGCATATTTTTTTAGGGGGAACCACAGTGCTTTTCTCTCTTTGGTATTCATTCATTTATAACTTAAGAAAACACATAGTGAAAATAAATATTCTTATCCTCAAGAAGCCTGATATTTAGGCAGAGAGCTTAAAAATGAAAATCCAAAAATGACCAGCAGTACAGGCTGGAATGTACCAATATTCAGTGCAAGGCATTCAAATTTATGTTATAGGATTTGTGGGAGGAATTACTTGGGCTTATGCGAGAGAAAAAGAGCTCACTGGAATTTGTTGGGTAGCAGTATGAAATGAGTGACCATTAACACCTCATTTCTTTGTAGTCTTATCTTTCAAAAGCCTAGGCATGTGGCATGGGCCTGTAATCCCAGTTCTGCTCCACAGACTGAGGCAGTAGAATCCCAAGAGCAGAGGCTAGCTTGTGCAAGTAAGCAAGACTCTGCTCAATGCATAGATGCTGCATACAAACACACAAACATACAAGTTGGGCAGAAAGCTTAGTGCTTCCTGTGGTCACTCACCACGACCGCGTGGGGATGAGGGCTGTGGAGGTCATGGCCTCCCTCTGTTTGCCTTGGTGATTCTCACCATACTTTGAAATAAAAAAAAATTTGCAGTGTGGCCAGAGGAAGGCTGCCAGCAGGGTGAAAAGTTTAATAATAGCATATGTGAAATTTAGGGATATTCGCGATATGGCCTTCAAATACTTCGATGACAGTCATATGAAAAGAAAGCCAGACATATCTGAAAAGCCTGGAGTTTGAAAAATGTGAGAATAAATGTGTGGAAGTTAAATGTAAGCTCAAAATGGTAACTTTATGTGGCTATCATTTTCTGGAAACAGGATTAGTTATCCATTGAGATAATGCATTTCCCGTTACTGGAGGCATTCATGCAGACTCTGCACAGCAAATGACAAGGAAATATGCTCCCAAAGGCCTTTGTGTGTGGAGCATTACATGTACACTATGATCATCCTAATGCCAGTTTCTTTGTATCCCTTGTGCCCTTTTTCTGGGTTGAACCTACCAAACTCATTTTTAACTTAAAATGTGCCTACTAAGTGTGGGTGGGGTGAGGGGATGCAGTTGGAGCTGGGGCAGTGTGACCCTCTGTAAGACTCAGTTAATTCTGTGAGCAGGAACCCAAGCTTGGTTTAGAGAAGGAGACTGACTCCAGTGAACAGGGTAACGGTGGTGCCTCCCAGGTGGGGAGCAGAGTGCAGAGGCTCAAAGAGAGACATTATTAAAACAGCCAAGACTTGGTGGTGAGGTAAATGAGAAACCATGAGAAGGGAGGTTGTTACAGCTTCATGCATGGGTGGCTGCGAGTTTATTATTGTTGCAGAAGTGAATTGGAAAAATAATGAGACTGGCCGGAATTTTCCAAAATCGCTTCCATTAAGTTTATCATAGAGAGGAGGCTGTTTTAATATTTGTGAACATAGAAAGTCATGTGTGAACGGTGAACTATTTTTAGAATTGCACCATGGTACTTACTGGCAGGACCTCACACTGAGCGGACAGAGTTGTCACCAGCCCTGTCGTCTGAGTGCGGCGGTGTGCTTGGGTGCTACACATTGTAGGTGTCAACCCAGACGCGAGAAGCAGCAGCTTGAATTCCACGCTGTGTGTGCTTTAGGGAGCATCCTGGGGAAATTCCCATCCGTGGGAACACCACAGATAATTCTATGTCTCTAAAATAACTGGAATTTTTCAAAAACGTGAACTCTGAGCTGAAAAAATAATCTACCTGTGTCTTTGTGAGTGTGAAAGGAAGTGGTAAGAGGTATTCCTCAAAATTTCAAAGACAGAATTATGTCCCAGGTATAGAGTTTGTGTAATGTATTATTTCTTAATCTCTTTCCTGTTTCTGGCTTTCTAAGTTGCTCTTCTGTTCTATTTCTCTTTTAATTTATGCTGTGTTAAGTTTTATCTATCTCTGAAGGTAGCCATAAATTCATTTTGGAGCCAAGGAAGGTAAGTACAAATGGATCTCTTTTTATATTAGTCCCTGCATTACAGATGAAGAAGCAGAGGCTCAATCTATCTAACTCACCCAAGATCACAGTCAGTGTGCTTTCTACTGCTGGATAATAAATCACTCCCCAAATTAGCTTGAAGCAACAAGCATTTACCTCGCTCAGCTTCTGAGGATTAGAAATGGGAGTAAATTAGCAGGGTGGTCCTAGCTGAGGAGCTTGTGAGGTTGCTGTCAGTGGTCAGATAGGACTTCAGTCGCCTGGGGCTGGGGAATGGCCTTCCGTTTCCTTCACAGGACAGTTGGCAGAACATTTCCATTCCTTGCTGCCTACCTTTCTCTATAGGGCTGCTCATGACATAACAGCTGACTTTCCCCAGAATGAGTGGCCCTAGAGAGAGAAAGAGTGACCCAGACAGAAGCTATGAGGTGGACGTATAATCTTGATAGTCACAAAGTCACTTCCCAGGCATGCTGGCACTTGGGAGGTTGAAACAGGAGGATCCTGGCAAGTTCAAGACCAGTCTAGGCTATGTAGCGAGTTTGAAGCATCCCTGGACTATATAGTGTGATGCTGTCTCAAAAAACAAAACAAAACAACAGCAACAAAGTCACTTCTACAACATTCTTTTGGTCACATCAACTGTAGGAAACTGGGAGAGAGGTCACAAATATGAATTCCAGCAGTACAAAGCACTGAAGGCTGTCTTGGAGTCTGCCAGCCACGGTGAATAAATAAATGAGGAGCTGAGCCTGCATGATGCCACTGGCTTGGGATACAAAGGCTTTGGATTCAAGCACGCTCCAGGTTGACACCCAGAGCTGATTCAATTCCTTTCATGCTGAGGGTGAACACCAGCAAATGTAATGATCTGTGTCTCCAGGTTCTCCTCCTGCTTACAATTGGCATCGCTACCACAATTTCACTGTAAACTTTTGTAGCCTCAAAACTCAACGCTTCTAAAGGTAAATCCAAGTCTGAACCTTAAGCCAGCAAGAAGCATTTGACATTTTGGATACCACTAAGGACTTAAAAGGATAAAGCTGAGTATACTTACATGCTCAGAGCTGGTAGCACCAGGAACAGTTGATTATAATTTTACTTCCCTGTACTTTTTCAAGGTTATAGGAAAGGTTTTGGTGATCCCACCCCTCTTAAAGGGTAATTGCTAATGTTAGGAGAAAACCCATAAAGATAATTTTATGGAACGTATTTTTACTGCACTGCTGAACACTAGCCAGATTTTGTCATGGAAATAAATCAGAGAATATTGTTTTCTTGGTTTCAGGAAATTGCTGGGCTCAATGTTCAGTTTTCAGCCCACAAATCCATGACTCACCAACAAACAACTTGGATAAATGAGCACTGAGATCTCATTTGGTGCTGGCTGCTACCTTACCTTTGACAATTCTTACTCTACTCTGCTGGGAATTCCATTTGCATTTGAAGTATGTATACACTGATGTTGCTACGTGTTTAAATACCTGCCCAAGCCAATTTCTTAGCTGAGATTGCTTCTCTAAACAATGGTGCTGACTGTTTATTACAACTTCAGTTAAATTCACAAGCCACTGCTGTGTACCGGTAGCATTTAAATAATGTTTTAACGTTATTTATTTTTTTACATCTCCAGGACTTCCTTCAATGGAGGGCCTTGTGATATGTTCATTTGCAAATATGTTGATCTATTTTGTCTAGGGAGAGAATCCTTTCTTTTGTGTTTGACTGACTTGTGTGTGCAATAATTTGATAAAGACTTTTAGAATTTTTTTTTTTTGTGTGTGTGTGTTCTAGACTTTGCTACATTCTGCAAGTGGAGAAAAGAGTGATACTCAACTTTTGTGCCTTTAAAACTTGCAGTATATCTGCTAGATATCTGCAGGAATATTATGAAAGTGTGAAGTACCAGAAGTATTCACAAAATGCTTGGGAGAGAGAGAAAAAAGAATTATTTCTGCTTGGTAGTGGAGGAGTAAAATGTCAGGAAAGACTTTCTCTTAGCTCAGGAATGATTTTCTTTTAAAAATAAAAATTCTATAAGCTGACTTCATGATTTTTAAAAATTATTTTTCCTTAAATTAGGGCACTTCCATGTATTTTCTGTTACGTTGTCCTATGCTATATGAAGTAATGATGATAATATGTGTGTTTTCTTTAATTGTGAAACGAAATGTGACAGTCTCCCCTCAGCCTGCATTTGTGTGCCTTCACTCATTTAGTGGTGGCCTAAGGGCACAGGATTGGGAGGCTGTCTGTGAATGACTGCACGTGGGATGGAATTGGAGAAAGGGGCTCCTACTGCTGGCCTCCAGCTGTTTCACTACATCTGTCTTAAGGGAAAATTAAGAAAGCAAAACTGTATGCTTGCTTTTTTACAACTGTTGCTGAGTATTTTTCTTGCACGTGTCTGGGAGAGTGTGGGGGAGAGGTGAGAAGCAGGAGAGAAAACCTGTGCCCACGGTGATGGAGCAAGCACAGTTGCCATCATGGAAACTGGTGTGGGGGAGGATTTTCCCACCGTAAAATCTTACATAGCTTAGAGTTGGAAAACTTTCACGTTTCTATATGTTGGGTTAAAATAAAGAATATTTGTGTGTAGAGTCCGCCACTTGCCATGTTTTCAAAAGGCAGATGGATAAAGCCTTTGGGTCTGTGTATCTAATAAGCCAGCAGTAATTCCCTTTTTTCAGTACTGGGGATTAAGCTTGGGGTCTTCACACTACATCCCCGGTCCCTTCCTCCACCATCACCATCTTTATTTTGAGACAGGGTCTCACGGAGTCACTGAATTGCCCGCGCTAGGCTAGAACTAGCACTCCTCACACCTCAGCCTCCCAGTGTGCTGTGGCGACAGGCAAGCACCTGCACACCTGGCTGGCAGTGACAGAATCTTTAACTCCTCTCTGCTGACTGCCTCTGCTCATTCGGTGTCCTCATTCAGCTCATATGCAGTAGCAAAGCTTTCTGTCCACGTGTGTGTGGCTCTGCCTCCAGAATTGAACTACATCTGTAATTTTAGGGAACGTGTCATCTTTGAAGAAGGATTCAAGGAGAACCACAAAGACTATATTGAAAGATTGAATAATATCAAAAAGATGTTTAAGAAGAGTATAGGTACTCCTTTATCTGAATTCTGGGGGTGGTGACCTTACAGGAACTTAATCTGCCTCAAATTCTTTTCTAACACAAGCACTTTCAGAAATGATCAAACAGTTCCTTGAAGACTGGCCAAATAATTTTACATAACAGGCTTCCTCTCAACCATGCACTTGGATGGTAACCCTTGCAGGGTCACACAAGAGGGCTGGGAGGTCACACATGCTCATTCAAATCTCCCTCTGCTTCAGCTGGGCACGGTGGTGCACATCTGTAATCCCAGCACTTTAGGAGGCTGAAGCAGGAGGATGGAAAGTTCAAGCCCAGCTTGGGAAACTTAGTGAGACCCTGCCTTAAAATAAAAATAAGGTGCTGGGGATGTGGGTCAGTGCAAAGGCTTTGCATTTGGTCCCCAGTGCCACCAAAATCAATCAATCAAAATCAATCAATACTTGATCCACCTGGTCCTACTGTCAAGGAAGAGCCTTATTAAGCCTCCGTTTCCTGCTCACTGTGGTGCAGATGATAGTTCTTACTTCACGAGACACTTGTAAGCAGAAGTAATACGCATGAGGTAAGCACAAACTTCACCTCTTATACTTTACTTTGTATTATTGCTGTTTCCTTCTGAAAGCAGTGCCCTCCCCCTGCTCTTCTTGCTTCTGTTGTTTACTGACTCATCTTTGAATCTGGAGGCCCCCAATTCCTGAGGACTAGTTGTTCTTTCAAGTTCCTTGAAACCAAAGCTCCTGGATAGAAATTTTAAAATGTGCTGATACATATTTATAGAGCAGCAGGTCATTTATTTTGATTAGCAGTTATATTGAAGCAAATTAACCAAAATTTTCTATCACAATATTTCTAGACAAAGAGAAATAATGTTAAATATTTATGCAAATGTGAAATTCTATCAATAACCCTCATACTTCCCTTGCTTCATGACCTTTAGCAGCTCAGCAGTGAAAATATTGAGAGGAGATCAACCCACCTGTGCTGACGGCTGTCTTTCTTGCTTCCTGCTTTGGAACAATACAGATCTGACACCCAGGAGCACAGTCCTAACCTATCTGGCACACAGATGTGTCCTGAAGCCTCTTTGCCCTGTAGTAACCAGCTGAGCTGTCGAACATTGAAAGAGAACTAAGAAGATCTTTTTATTCGCTATCAGGCCCTCTTGAGAAGCATATTTTGTTACTAAATAAAAAGGAAGAGACGAACATTGAGGTTACATCTCCTGTTTGGAAAGTTCAGGGGAAAGTTGAGTTGACCTAATCTCTATCAGCTGCTTTTAGTCATTAATTCACTCAACCAGTAACTATTGGATACTCAATGTGTACTAGGCATTGTTCTGGACACTGGAGATAAAACAGGACAAAGATTGTTCTCATGGAATCTGTAATCTGGTGGAAAAAAAGACAGAAAGAATTCCACAGTGACTGGGCCTTCTGATGGCAACGGGATGCCCTGAGGGGGATGTTGGGGTCTGTGTCCCTGGTAAACTGCATTTATTATTCACTCACAGACGTGTATATGTGTGTGTGTGTGTGCACATGCGTGCATGCGTGTGTTTTTAGCTGATTACTAAAACACTAACTTCTACCTAACAAAGTATTTTTGATGTCTTGAAAGTGATTGTCATAGCCCTGGAGATCTATTTGTGTCCTGTTTTCTCAAGTTTGTGTTCTTTGTGTTAGCAAAGAATATCCCACCTCACTGCAAGTATAACAGAATAAGCTATTATCTGTGATGTTCCAGCCCTGATGTACCCAGAAGCAAACTTTCATTTTACCCAATGTCAGTTTGTTATCTGAGGACTGGGGTTATTTTGCTCAATATACTGTAGCTAACTTTCAATATGTCTTCTTAGGTTTCAAAGCAAATTTTACTAAAGGTTAGCAAGTTTGGATGAGACCCAGACTTGGATAATATTGCAATGCCTGGGAAGCCATGAGAATGACTTTCACATTTCCGTAAAGGAGGGTGAGTTTTAACCTTAACCTCACTCTGCCCCTCATATAAAGCATGTGGTAAATCAAGCAGAGCATGTTAGGTGTTGTGTTTCAGTAATGGAATGATATATCAAGCCAACATTTGTTTTTAACCCTGGGTAAAGTGTATTAAATCACTAAAAACAAGTGTTCTGCCATGTGCTTCCTATAGATTATTAATTATGATGGGGAGGGAATATATGTCCACAATGGGAAGATCTGGCAGATGTCTTCTAACCAATGAACCTGACATGATCAAGGTGAGATCAATGGGCATGATCTTCTTGGTGAGAGGAAATGGGAAATACCCAGCTGGGTAGACTTCTTGCTAAAGAATATCTAACCTGAATTCAATCACAAAGTAAATAAGCAAATTTAGATTATAGGGTATGATTTTAGGTAGGGCAGTGGGCCTACTCAAAACTATCAAAGTGAAAGTCAAAAAATAAATACATAAAGCAAGGTGAGGGGAATTAAAAGAGACTGAAGAGATACTACTGCTGGGTGTTTGGATACTAGGACCCAACGTGAAGGAAAGTCCCCAGGAAAGGGAAGGAGAAAGGATGAAATATTTACAAAGGGCATTTGGGGAACAATTGATGAATTTGAATAATGTCATGTTAGTAGACAATATTTTTGGTATTAAATTCCTTGAATCTGCTTGTTAGCAAAGGAGGATGAATGCCTTTGCCAGAGGTACCAGCTAAAGTATCTTAGGTGTGAAATGCCATGAAATGTGCACCTTTCAAATGATTCAAGAAGAAAACATACTCGAGAAAGACAGAGAGGGAAACAAACATGGGAAGAAGCTTGGTGGATCAAGATGAAGGTGATCTATGTTTTCATGGGATCAATCCGTAGGTCTCAACCTTTTCCAAATAGAATGAGACAAGAAAAGTTTCTCTGAAGGAAATACAGAAATCTGCAGTGAAAGCAAAGGATGTGAGGAAATGCACAAGGACACAACTTATGTGTAAGCTTCAGAGTAATAAACCAGGGACAGTGGACAGAACTCTGGACAGAACCATGAGGGTTGTGTTCCCCCACCCCCCACCTCCTCCTCACCAGCTCCATGATTGGGGGCCCTTTGTCTACACTCTCTGTATTTACTTCCTAGTGCAGCCTAACAGTGTGCCCTGAACCGGGTGGCTTAAGTCAACAGGAATGTATTCCTCATAGTCCTGGAAGCCAGCAGTCCAAAATCACAGTGCCACATGGCCATGCTCCCTCTGGAACCTGCAGGGCTGTATACTTCCTTGTCTCTTACTAGCTTCCTGTGGCTGCCAGCAGCCCATAGCATCTTGTTGGCAGCTTCATTTCTGTCACTGCCTCTGTGGTTACAGATAGCCATTGCTCGTGCATCCCTGTCTGGTGTTTCTTCTCTTATAAGGACAACAGTCATATTGCAATAGGGCCCACCCTGACCTTGTTTGAAATTTGATTACATCTGCAACTGTGGTATTTCCAAATAAGTTCAGTCATAGAAGTAGAGTGCTAGGAGTTAAACATCTCTTTTGGGAAGACATGACAATCTCTGTCTTTGTTTCTGCAGCTCTCAAATAGACGTGGGGGAGGCGAAGGAGTTGCTGAACCAAAGTGAATACTGAGGTCCCTTCAGCTCTGTAAGTCTGGGGTTATTCACCCTCTTGCTCTAAGCCCAGAATTAGCTTTGGACAAGTGAGGAGCTCAAGGAGATGGTAAGGGGAGCTTAAGCAGTGTGGCCTTGGCAAAGCTTAATTCATGTACATTCTTAGCATAGTGGGCTGTTCTAGTTTGCTTGGCATAGTCATCTTTTTTCTTCACTTTTTCTGTGGGGGGGGGGGCTGAATGATTGCATGTCAAAACAGTCTTTAAACTGAGTTTCCATCCTGTTACCCCATAAAACTGTGCAAAATAGACAAACACTTTACATCACGAATGATTTCAGATGTTAGACAGGCTGCCAGAGGCAGCAGATTAATAAGAAAAAAAAAATCAAGACTCTTTTCTCTCTCTGTCCTTCAGGCTAAAAAAAGCCACGATAAGATGAAAGGACATTCTGTGATGAATAAGGGCAGCTGTACCTTCAAACCATTCTGGGCTCCTCCTGCTGGGTCTGCTCTGGGTATCTGGAGGAGGAGAGGCTTTGTGGGCCTCAGGGGACTTGTAAGCAGAGGAGGGGGGCATAAACAGAGATGAGAAGCTCTATACTCTTTCCAGATGTCCCTTGTGCTTCAAAGAAAACAAAACTATGTCAAAACCAGGGAAGGGGTTAGTTGGAAAGGACATTTTTTTTTGAAAGGACATTTTTCTAGAACTCCAGGCCCATACTATGACGTGAGGACAGAGACACCACTGTCCCCCCTGCATCTCCCTCCGTGTAATGCAGGATAGGTTAGTGTCCCATCGGGGACACCTCTGATTTGGGACCAATCGGCAAAAACCACAGTGAAATGAAACCATAGCCAAAAGTATACAGCACCTTTTCCTCAGCTTTCAGAAATTATTTTAATGAACAATTTTTAATCTAGTAATAATCATGTCCTTATGAAAGCCTGCTCTATCATTTGCTGTCAATGGTAGGTAAAAGCAGTGGGCATTGACACGGTGTCATTATTATTCTGGTCTTACTTTGGCATTCCTTCAGCTGTGGGAGTTATGGGTTTGTCAGCATTTCCATTACTGCTGCTTATTCCGAAGGCCTTTGTCTTAGTCACTGAAAATTGCCTTCTACTGGATGGAGTCCTGGAGGTAATTTCCTTTAGTGTTATAGCAGCTGCTTTCTTTTATGCTTGTGTGTGACTTTGCAAATGATTTTAATATCTTTTTATCAAAGAAATTAATTTGCACATAACTCTCGACTCTTTACTGCATTATAGCTCATATTCAAGCTTGGGAGAAGAATCATGTGAAGTAAAAGTTTGCAAGAACCACACAACTCAAGAAGGGGGCTGCCACGGAGGCACAGAACACAGCAAAGAGGGTGCGATGAGATAGGTGCCTGTGATCGTCAACAGTAGTTCTTATGGGTCGTGTATTGTGTGGGGGATTCACAATGTAAAAGCAAGGGGAAGAGAAGACATGGTTTTCAATTAAGAATTTAAAGTATATGTTATGCTCATCAAATCATATAATTTCAGCATCAGAAGACCTTATTTCTTATTATGGATGCTTATTCCTGTCAATCCTATGGTCCCTGCAGATTCTTATTCAATCGATGACACATTTCCTCTTCTGTTCTTCCATCACTGTATCAGTTATCTGTTGTTGCATAACAACTCAGCCTAAAACCTGAGTGGCTTAACACAGTAGCCATCGAGTAGCTCTTGATTCTGGGTTCTGAAGTTTGCACTGAGCTCAGCTATGTGGTTCTGCTAGACCCGCCTGCCCTTACTCATGGGGCTATAGCCCAGCTAATGGATGGACCAGTCAGACACTGGGTCAGCATGGATGACCACACTCACACAGTTGGTGTTGGCTTCTAATGGAGAAACCTATGTGTCTGCAGTACCCCGCGGGTTGCTGCAGGCTTTTCACTGGCTACTGAGTTCCAAAAGAAGCAAGTGACAGCTCCCTGTGCACAACTCTTCCCAAATTTGTTTGTGTCACATTTGCTAGTGTGTCATTGGCCAAAGCAAATGACATAACCAAATTCACATGCAAGGAAATAAAGACATAAGATTCTATCTCTTAGTGAAAAAGGACAGTAGCATAAATTAAAGTATACATTTTTAAAAAGGAAACTAGAGTCCCATTCCAATAGCTTCACCCAGATTCTCCCTACTATCCCATCTTGCCTGAAAAGACAGATATCGGAAGACCAGTCATGGGCCTAGCTACGCGAAGACCAGAAATTCCCAGGAAAATGTGAATTCATCCTAAGAAAAGAAAGTCACTAGACTGTTCAAGAACATGGAGTCAGTGGTTAGGACTGGGATTATCTCAGAATAGCCCTGACTGCCCCATAGAGAGCTCAGCCCTGCCCCTGTCAAATGCGTCCAACGCTTAAGGAAAAGAGGCCACAATAAAAGGATAAAAATAGGGTTTTAGGGAAGTTTCTATGAAAAATACAGTGACGTAGAGCGTGAATGGAGCATTCCTCATTTTGGATGTCTCAGCACTCAGGAGGGGCTGTACTGAGGCTAAGTCTTGACCAGAGGTGACCTGGCGCCTGAGGCAGCCTTCGGCCTTTGCTGGAAGGAAGGGAGGAATTCTTCCTTTCACCTCTGAAGTCCTCCCAGAAAGAAGTGCGGGAAACCACAGGAACTGAAGTTCTATAGAAAAATGTTTTCAGTGATCATTATCTTGACCCAGTGTCTCGCTTCTGACTGTTCTGATTAAGTGACAGAGATTAGAGTAATTTCTTGTGGATGTGTCTGCTATTCAAGTTGGGTCCAGGCAAAACGGTCAATTGTAGTTTTGTTTCCTTGTGTCTTAACCTCCCACATGGACTCTGTCTTTTTTCTCTCATCCTTATCTCCTCTGTGTTTTATTTATTAACAAAAGACTGTGCTTTCCATTAGTTGAAAAATAAATTCTTGCAGGCTTGAACTACTTCTGTGAGCTGAGAATATTTGCATTTTTTTCAGAATGACAAGTTAAAGTGAGAACCAATTAGATCAATAATAGCCAATATATTTTGTTCTAATTAGCAGAATATACTCAAGTATAAATTGCATATTATGTCTTCCAACCACTGTGTAAGTGCCACTCACTGAAGCTGTAGAAGCGATACCTGTGTACAAGACACAAGCATTAGAGGAGGGCCTCGGGGAGCCTGATGTTACACTGGATGAGCCTGTTGCAGCCTGAACTCACTGAGCAGAAGTCCAAGAAAAAGACCATCGTGTTGGGTTCTGCTTATTTATTTTGTCTAGTTTAGAAGTGGCTTTGAAAGAATAGCTTAGAGACCCATGGACTTATTTCAGACACCAAGCTACACAATCAAGAAAATGCCACACATGAGAGCAGAAATGTTTTCTTGCAACCAAGAGCATACCTCAAGCATGAGCAGCAAGAGCCAGGAGGCTTGAAATGGGTGTGACCACCTGCGTGGCACTGCTTGGATTTCTAAGCAGAAGGGAAGAAGGGATGTGGAAGCTACAGAGGATCTTGTGAGCCTTCAGGGGAGCCAAGGGCAGAGGAGGCTGGTGTTGTGCTTCAGTTTAGACCTGAGAGAGAAGTCCACTCGCCAGGGGAGGCAGCTGATGATCAGAAATGGGAACGTGGCGTGGCCGGGCTGAGAGAGGACCTGCATGAGGTGTGTAGGGAGCCAGAGATCGACATGATAGAGCTTTTAATCTTTCAACCTAAATTTTCCTCTTTCTTGTGCAGCTGCCACACACATCCTGCCACCCAGAATAACTCCAGTATTGATCTACCCTTTGGGTGGCTCCCTTTGGACTTCAGGATAAAACCCAAGCTTCTCAGCATGGCTATCTAACCTCTCCATGTCCTGGCTTCACCGTGGTGGACGTGCTTGCTCACCATGAGTCCTTTGGGCTTCGGCCCTAATGCCTTTGCTCAAGGTAGTCCTGTCTCCTAGAAAGTCACTTCTTCCCATCTGTAATCTGCCCTAATAAGTCTACCTTCCATGGTCGCCTTGATTGTCCCCTCTGTATCATAATGTAATCCTCACAGCACCAGGGACCAAAACACAGTCTGGTGGAGTCCTGTCACCTTGGGGACTCTCAAGCCCCTGACTGCCTGTTTGAATGCCTTTATCCTGCTATTCTGGAGTTATCTATTACTTGCCTGTTTCTTCATTTAACTGCACCCTGCTTTCAGGCCTGTGTCTGATCATCGCTACTGCTCAGCCCCTAGCAAAGTGTGTGCCTCTGAAAGCACCCTGTAACTGTTTCCTCGAGGAGTCATGGTGAGCTCATTAATCCCAGTTACTTTTCTTCCAAATGGTATGACATTGGGAAACTTATAAAATCCATCTATGACCTTGTCTTTTTACTTATGAATTGGGGTAACAGAATCTACTTTCTAAGGAAGTGTATATTTTTTTGAAAGACTGTCAGTGGGAAGAGTAGGACATGAAAGAAGACTTCTGTCACATGAGAGGTGATGAACAAGTCACATAATCACAATAACAATACAGTTAGAACTTTTTCAAAAATTGTTACTTGTTGGTGTTTCATACCACTATCTGATTAACTTCTCCCAGCACTTTGAGGAAAGGATCCTTGAACCTATCACAGTAGCAAACCAGACCCAGGAAGTGCAGTACCCATCCATGTGGCAGAGCTGGGAATGTGAGCGAGCCTTAGAGGCCAAGTATTGGCATTTCTGTGTCCATTGTGGGAAAACTGGTAGCTGCTCTCCCTGTCCTGGTCGTCCTTGTTGGATATAGATTCTTAATAACCCAGATGATAGCAACATAGTGGACACTCAAATACCAGAAGAGGAAACCAAAGTGGACATCTACAGGAGCTGACACAGACCAAACAGGAGAAAGGAAGTAGAGTTCGCCTTGGGGAAGCATGAACTAAGTAAGCCACAAGAACAGGAGAGAAAGAGGGAGGAGAGCTGGGGCTGAGGAGCAGCTGGGTGGGAGATGGACAGGAGCTGAGACGCTGCCCTGTAAGTGATGAGGCCCTGGTGGTTGAAGCTGTTATGGCAGCACTCGCTGATGTACAGAGGTCCTGCTCCCTTCATTGTTTTTAAAATTTTTGTATATTTTTTCCATGCATAATGATCACATTCATGATAGGGGATTTGTGCCTGTACATGTCTTAATTCTTTTCCCCCATTCTCTTCCTTCCCTTCTGCTATTCTTTAAAGCCACAGAGGTGAGACCATGGAAGAGGAGCAGCGCACACGTGTACCTGTGTGTGGGGTGCACACATGTGCATTCATACAGGGAAACTTTGGTGCTGGGTCTCCTGCAACCTCCATTACCTTTTTAACTTTCTTCCTCTCTAAGTTTTACTTATATATTTCCCAGTATCTGTAAGAGAAATTGTGGACATATTGCATTCACAGATCATGGGGTATCAATCAGGAGCAGCAGGTAAAAAGCTAAAAAAAAGCTGTCCTTGGACTGACCAATGAGCCATTCCCATGTTCCAGATTTCTCTGTAGTCCAAAACTGTGTTCTTTCCTCTCTGTCTAGAGACAGTTTTGCTCAATGGCAGGAGCCTGTGTTCAATTCCTGCATAAATGTAGTTTCTTCCCTCAGCTGTGAAGCAGGAGCACTAAACACTGTCTTGTGGTCTGTAGAGAGCATAAGAACTCCTGGCAGCGTCCAACCTTGGCAACTGAAGACCGTTATTCCGTTTCCATCCACCTGGAGGCTGTGGGCACCATCACTGTGTGCCTGGGGACTTCTTACTTAAATGTCTTCAGGTTTTGACTAACCAGATGCTGGATAGAATAACAAAACAAATCCACAGTGAAAATTAGCTAGCTTGAGAGCTTTCTTCTAGAGCTAGAAAAAGTGATATCAGTATTTGGAAGGCAGGATAAATGAACTTGGAGAATGTAAAGCCATGGAGCCATTTATCTGTGTATTTTTAAGCCTGGCACCATCAGGAAGTCCTCGTTCCTGGGTACCATGGCAGATGAAGCCAGTCCTGAACCTTGTGGCCTGCCCTGCCTCCTGAAGATTGGTAGCACTATTCCAAGTGCAATATAGAGCACATTATAACCTGTTTAGGGTGAGGTGAAGGGGAAAAATTTTTTTAGGATGTTTGAGTTTTCATCTTTTTCTATCTTTTTTGTGAGAACTTCCGTAGACCCCAGAAAACTAAAGAATGGATCTGGGGCTGGGGATTTAGCTCAGTGGCTCAAGTGCTTGCCTGATAAGGATGAAGTTGTGAGCTTGACCCCTGGTTAAAAAGAAAAAGGGATCTGGGCAATTTCTGCCAGCTGCATCTTGCAGAAGGAAAGGACAACACTGCTCTTCCAGCTCAAGGGCCCTCTGGATCATAGTCCAGCCTCAAAGCTCAAGAGTTAATATCACTTGTATGCTGTCCTTTGTCAGAGTAAGTGACAGGTAGGCCTACTGGACCTCCTGAGACCCCACCCCAGAGTCCCTGTCACACAATCCTCAGTGAAAAGATTGTCTCCAGAAGTGTGGGAGAGGAAAGTCACAGGAAAATCATTTCTTTCCAGACTCTACAAGGGTCAGCAGAGAAAGGAAAATTGCATGCTATTATCTTCTATCTGCAGAACTGACTCAGCAAAATCATGAGCAACCCAAGAATGATGTTTTTCCTGATTCATGAACCTGACTCTGTTCTCATAGAATTTGATTTAATCAATTAATAAAATGCTTACATGCACTGTTTCTTCTTTATAATAGGGAGATAAATTTCTCCATAAATGTTCTAAAAATCTATGTCCTTGAACTGAGTGTGACCCTTTGTAGGTGACTTTTGGGCATATTGGAATGTCTGTAGTTTAATAAGCCCTATTACAGGTTTCTTTCTTTCTTTATTTAGCGATGCTGGGGATTAAACCCAAGGCCTTCACACTGAGCTACATCCCCAGTGCTTTTCTGTTCTTTTTCTTTCTCACTTTAGACAAGGTCTCAATTACCTAGGCTGGGTTAGAACTGGCAATTCTCTTAGCCTCCCAGAGTGCTGAGGTTACAGGTATGTGTCACCATGCCATGCTAAAAGTATCCTTTATGGATAAGGATTATAATGGAACTTCTTGATAGGAAATGAAGGAAATCTCTTCTCCCTTACCTTATAATTTCACCAGGCAGGCCTGCTTGAGAAGGCCTTCTGTAATCTTCTTTGAAAACCTCTTCACTTAGTTTTGTCTGATGAAGATGCTGAAATGCTTTTCCAGTTTGAAGGAGCCCAGCAGAGAGGGCAGAGTCACTGCTGCTCAGATAGATGCATGTTGGGAAATATGTGAGGTGTCTAATATAACCCATAAACCCAGCATCTCTGACATAGCATAAAATCCAAAATGTTATGTGACCCAGGAAAGTCACACAGCTTCTCAAAAGATCAGCTGCATTCCTTAAGCAATAGGGACAGTCACAGCTGCCCTACCTACTTTATACAGTTGTTATGGAGGTTAAATGACAATGTTTGACCAAGGAGTCTCAGGGCTACAAGTCATAGAGATGCAAGGGGTAGCTATGCTGTATGGCAGCCTGCCCTTGGCCGAAGCAAATCTGGAGAATTGGATTCTGCAGGTGAAAATGGTTTCTGAGTTAAAATGGTTAAATTCCGTCAAGGACTATGGGACAAAGCTATTGATCTTTCTGTCTCATTGAAAAAGAAGCAGCGCCTCTTGGAGACAAGTCTGAATTTTATCTGTCTTCTCATTCACACCAAGATATTTCTAGACATTGTGTCTTTGGATTTGGAAATCATTGCCAAAAAAACGTCTTTTTCTCTACACGACTCTGCAGAGCATCCTGCACCCACGTGGAACTGGACCGTGTGGAGCTTCGCTCCAGGGGCCAGGTCCGAGACATGGTTTGTTGAAGATTTCTGGAAAGGTGCAAGGGCATGAAGCTCAGAGGGCTTCATGACACCGCCAGCTTATGCAAATCCTAAGGCTAGAAAGTTACCTGGGCCAAACTGACGTTAAAATGAGACAATTATAGCTCAAAAATAGGTAAGTAATATGAAACTAAGCAGATACACTAGATTAAATAATTGAGTAAGCAATTACTTTTGTACAACTAAGCTTTTCTGATTTCTACAACAGTTTTCTTCCCATAAAATCATTATTAGTACTAGCAACGTCCACATTCCTAATACCAGCTACTGTTTATTGAAAAATGAGTATGTGTCAGACATTGTGCTAAGCCATTTATTTCTACTCTTTTAATCAGGTAGATATTATTCCCATTTAATCAAGTAGATATTATTCTAATTTTCATGAGAAAAATGAAGTCCATAAATATTCATTGCTTCCCAAAGTCAAGATAGTAGTGTTTATATCAGCCTTCACCAGAGAGAGTAAGACAGGAGATGGGAGGGTGTTGTGGTTTTTGCTATTGTATACGTGCAAAATGATAAGTACAGTTAAAGAACAACTCAGAGATGAAAAATCTATCTTTATCCTCCAATTAAATATACTCTGGGTTGAACTGTCACACGGAACTGACCCTGAAGTACAGCCTTGCTCTGTATTGACACAAGTGAACTGGAATGAGGATGTGTGGCTTCAATAGCCCTTCCACATACCAGACTTTCAGAGTTCAGACAGAAGATGAGTCATAGAAGAAATCTGCAGGCTTTGGCCGCAATAGAAATATTCACTTCCCCAACTGCTCAGCAGCAAAACACTGAGACCAATTACTTTTCTGTAGCAGGAATGTTAAAAGTGGTTTTCACTCTTAGTGTTCTTTTCACCATAATTAAACCAACCTTTGTGGCCCCTGCTGGGTTTCATTCTAAATATTCTACATTCCGGCTTCATCTCCTCTTGCTTGGTAGAGGTTAGGATCACTACGCCTAGGATCAGCAGCTGCAAAAATAAATTTGCCTGCTCTTTAATCTTGACATTATATTTTGCCAAATTTCATTAAAAAGCATAACTCCTCTACAACTCTCTGCACCCCGTACAAGTTTATAGGACATGAATTTTAAAACCCAGATGCATTTAATTCAAAAGATCAATGAACATGTTTTGGAAATTTTGTCATCCCTAAAATTTAACTTTGCATTAAACAATGCTATGAACAAATGTCCTCAAAATACCAGAATAAGTTCCTAAAATTTCCCTAGTACAAAATAAGAGACGACAGCTGTCCCTGAAATCAGCCAAGCCTCTTCAAGCCCAAATAGAAACTGGTTGAAGCTAACAAGTACAAAAGAAAAAAACATCTTATGAAAATAAGTCCACAGTTGATTATTGACTGTCAATGGAACACAGTGTATAATGCTCAGAAAGAGGATCATTTAGAAAAAGAGGATCATCCTGTCCACTTAACAGGACATTAAACAGGAGAATGAACCACGGCAAGTGGAATCTACATCATCCTTTCCGCTTCCTTTGTCTTTTCCACCATTCTATGTTTTATATCTGTCCATGCTCAGCATTTTGGCACCTAAGACTTGACTCCTTATAGGCTCTTGGGATTCCAAGTTGAAACAGTGATGGTCTATACCCTCGGGGCCATCCTCCAACTGTGGAAATAGACACTACGTAGGTTGCTTTGATAAGATGTAATGCCTGCCACAATGGAGAAATGTACAAACTGGGGAAGCTTGGGTACATACCTTTGGGAACCAAGGGATAGATTTCTTGAGGAAGTGTCAACAAAATGCTAATAAGCAGTTAGCATCCAGGGAGAGAAAAGGGAAGGGGTGTGTCAGACAATGTCACCATTGGAAGCAAACGACAAAAATATACGAAAGATCAAGATGAGTTAGGATGCTGATACCGGTGCAAAGGAAAGAGAGAGGAAGGAAGGGTGAACCAAAGGGGAAGGCCAGGTTATGGAGGGCTTTTGACTCTAGGGTAGGAATTGGGGTTACAGGGAACTGGGAATTAGGTATGGAATCAGGGGAAGTCCTGATCTGCTTAGACAGGTTAAAAATGTAAGTTGTCTAGAAATACTAAGAGCAAATGGAAAGGAGGGAAGCTTGGAAACAGACTGTGAGACTAATAGGATCACACCAATGTATTATCGTTCTCCAGAAAGACAGAACCATGGGATATATGTACACATAACACACACACACACACACACACACACACACACACACACACACGCAGAAGCAAATAAAGTCTGTATTTTAAGACTCAGTCTACCAATGCAAACATAAATTCCATCCAGAAACACACTCACAGACATACCCAGAATAATGCCTAACCAACTATTTGGTTGACTCATGTCCGATTCTGACACGTAACCATCATACCAAACCATCAACCCCACACTCACTGATTTCCTGGCCCTTGCATTACCTCACCCTCTATCAGCTTCCAAAGAGATTTTCTGATTTTGGTCTTCCATTCCCTGCATGAGGTCCTTCAGAAATGCTGCAGCTTTCAGGATATAAAGTGAGCTCCTCAGCAGATGCAGACTCTTGAAACCCAGGATTCTGCTCCTCCAGTCTGTACAGCTGTATTTCCACCTCTCCTTAATAGACACTTCCATGGATGGCTCTGGAATATGCTATGACTTCTTGCCTGTGTGTCCTTCCACTGGTAGCAGACTCTACCTAAAACAGGTTCCAGGTAATTCCAATTAATTTTTACAGCTCATAGTAAGCTATTCTGTTCTAGAAAGATACCGTGTCCTTCCTAAGCCAAATTAAAAACTAGGTCCAAGTTTTCCAAAGCATCGTTTTGTACCCCCATAGTTGGCTCTTGTCTCACTCAATTGTAGTAGAGGCAGATCCTTCTCACCATAATTAAATACTTATGATCTTCCAAGCTCTGTACCAAATGCTTTTTATATGTTACCTCCTATCATCCTTATAACAAACTTTGGTGGTAAATACTGGGAGGAACTCCATTATACTGATGAGAAACTACAGTTCAGAGAAGACAGCTAAAATAATTTAGACAATTAGTAAGTAGGAAAGCAAGGATTCATAACCAGATTAATTGTTCTCCTAAACTTGCTCTTGCATCGTGCTGCACAATTTGAGTTTCTTTTTCTCAAGTAATGCACATTGTAAGGATAGAAGTGGTCCTCATATTTGCATCCATAGAACCTCTCTCCCTGTGTGGGAAGCCCTGTAATTGGCTGCCACCTTATATCTGCAGACTGCACCACCTTAACTCCCTCTAGGAGTTAAGTTTAGTAGTCAAGCAGCACCTTGCCTACCCAGCTTGTTTGGCCTATTCAGGAATTATGCTAATCCACCCACCTATGAGCCTATGGGAAATTTGAATTGACCTATAACCCTCGGTCTTGCCATTGTTGCTGTTAACCTGCTGATGTCTCAGAACCCAACTCCCTCCTCCTCAATACCCTATATATTCCTTGAATAAACAAGACTTGATCGGAAGGGCTTCATCTTGTCTCCTTCCTTTGTGTCTCTTGTTCCTTTTCATCCCCATGCCCCCTCTAGGGTCTCTGTGGACTTACCCACAGGCTGGGACATCCTTAGTGTATAGAAACAAAAGCTTGTTGAATGAATGCAAATGAATAAATGAGTAGTAGAGACAAGAAATGAAATGGGGTGAGAAAGTAGGCAGAGCAATCCCAGAGAGCTCCTTCATAAATTTTGGCCATGTAAAGAGGAAAAAAGAAAAAAGAATCAATGTAGAATGGTTCTGAAGGATATATAAAATCAAAGGGAAAGGTGAGTGTGTGTGTGTGTGTGGGGGGGTGTTACGGCTGAAGACATGTTCCAGTGAAACTAGAAAGAGTGAAAACAGAAGATGAAAGAACTTTGTAATGGAACAGGTTCCTAGAGCTCACCCAAAGACATGAGATCAGGCAAACAGCGTGGACGATGAAGTCATCCCTGGCACATTCTAAATTCAAGCTTTCACTTTGTAATATTTCTCAAAGGATGTATCTCCGTGAACATTCCATTTAGAAACTACATGATAAATATTCACTGGTGGCTGCATAAATGAGCAAAGTGAAATGGCACGAATCCAATCAACCCATTTCACTCCATTTGCAGCTGCTTGTGAAGGGCAAATCTGGAATGTGCTCAGCGATGACTCTAAGTAGCATACAGAATATGAGAACATGATCAGGCCTAGAGAAGAGGTGGCCCAAGTCCATCATTGTACAAAGGAGGAAACTGAAGCCCAGAGAGGAAGGCAAGTGACCCTGAATGACCGCAACTGAGTGGCAGCAGGATCACGTCTGGACCCTGAATCTTGAGAGTGCTAGACTGAGCCTCACAAGCCTTTTGCTGTTTGGCAGAAAGGGCTGCACAGCAACACAAATCAGGTGGAACTGAGTGCAAGCCTAAGTGTGGCAAAGGACCCTGATGATTAAAGGAGATGATTGATTAAAAGGGAATACATGTCAGGCACTTTACACAGTGTCTGGGCCATGCTAGATGCTCAAAAGAGGCAGTCCATTGTAAAAGTCCACCCTGGGTTGTCCCAAGAAAGATTTGTGTGTGTTGTGTCCATGCATTCACTCACAATGAATCCTATCCCATGAAGACGTGGAGAAGGACCTTTGATCAATTTAAAAATGAGCTTAGTAGTCAGAGATATAGTGAATGCAACTTGAGAAAGAAAAGTGTTCCTTCTAGGAGCTGCCATAGGAATGAGTTTGATGACTTCTACTATCTGAGATCTGTTATCTATATCTCTAAGCATGAGGCTTAGCCTGGATGAACAAGGTCCAGTGTTTCCCCATGTTCAGTCTGAGGTCCACTTTGAAATGCTCCCCTGGGCTTGGAAAATTCCCCAAGGGCAGAAACACCCGTGTCAGCCCCTAACCAGTACCCCACACCATGCAGGCAGCTTGGGGAGCAGGGTGGCTGACCTACATTCTTTGTGCCCCCGGCTCTCCATGACAGGCTTCCAGCAGTCTCCTTGCTGACATGGAGACATCTGCGCAGTGCTGTGGGAGGACGTGGTGAACTTGCCTGCTTGTGACCTGGGACAGAGAATGAAGGGCTTTAGTGATTTCCAAGATGTAAGCACACGTTTTCTCAAAGTTTTTGGATCCTAACACACACACATTCTGAACACTTCCCGTGTTCCCTTCTGCACCCCTTTTCCCCATAACCACTTGTTTGTTCACTGTTCTCATTATGCTCCCTCCTAGTCCCTGCCCAGCGCTGTGGGAGCCTGAGAGCTTTGTATACAACCACTGTGGATATTTTCCCTTATTTTGGTACAGGACTTGCTCTAGGCTTTATTTCATACTCCTCTATTTCAAACCTTCCTTTTTCTGGGACTTCCCAGCCTCAATTTTATTGACATCACCCTAGATTCTCCTTTCTGGCTTTCATCAGTTGCTTCTCAGTGTAGTTCCTTTGAATCCACCCCTTCAGCCCTTTACTCAACAGCCCCAAGCAACTGATGTCCTGTTCTTGGGGCCAACCCAGTAACCAGATCTAGGTCAGGCTGAGTGTCCTGTTGCAGGGGAGCTAGAACTGTTTCCAATAATATCTAAGTTCCATTTCTGTGACAGCCAGTGTCATTGCCCTTATCCATGCTAAGTCCAGTATCCTTTGGGCCCAAAGTTGTAGTAGCTACATTTCTGTACGTGAAAGCTTTTACCCTCTCTTTTGCTTAGAGGTGCCATAGTCCCCAGAGTAGCTTTCAACAAACTCCAACATGAGGTGGTGTGTAAGTACTCGAGCTTCCTCGCACATCTGAGGATATGATTCTAAGAAGTGGGTTTCCCACCACAGTCTTCCCATGGGTAAAGGTCCCCACCAGAGTATCTGATTCAGTTTACTGGCAGCCTTCTCTTCTCCATCACTACCCTCCAGTGATTCCTGCATCTCCCAAATAAACCAGTTATGCTCAAATCTGTGCCTTAAATCTAGATTCTAGGAGAAGCCAAAGTAAAACAGTTTTGAAACTCATTCCTTGGAGGAAAATTGGAAATGAACCAAGACTAGAAAAGATGAGTAGGCAGTTGTCGTGCAACACCTATGGGAGTGCTCAATCTGGGCTCTGAACAGTGCCCAGCTGCACACATGTGACCCTGACAGTGCTCACCTCCCTCCATGCGAAGCCTTGGCAACTCACCCACCTCACCCTGGTCCTGGCCCAGTCTGTGGAGGACTCCTGAAAGCTAACTCCTATTATCGTTAGCAGTATCACTAGGTTGGAATTGTTTGGTCATTTTATGTCCATGCAATTATTGTTAATATAATCATCTTCCATTTTAAAATGTAATTTCTGAGAGATCCTGTGCTGATTTGAATCATTTTCAGATTACATAATATGATACTCTGAAGGACTGAATTGTTTTTCCCTTCTCCCCAAATTCGTATTGGAGCTCTGTCTTGGTTACTTTTTTCTCATTGTTGAGACAAAATACCAGGTGCCCAAAATTAGGGAAGGTAAGGCTTTTTTCTTACAGTTTTGGAGGTTTCAGTCTATACTCAGCTGGCTCCAAGGCAGGGTGGCATAGCAGAGCTGCTGTTCATGGCCCCCACAAAGCAGCAAGAGCCAACCATGCAAAAGAGAAAAGACAAACCTTCTTTCTGCCCTTACCCTGTATATAATCTCTACCCCTGGTGGGTGTAGCACTCACATCATCAATCCCAGTGCTAAACAATGAACCAATCATGAACGCTGGATTCAGCTGTATCCATGATTGCATGAGGCTTGGGGAGGGGCATTGGAACATAAACCATAACAAGCTCTAAACTTCAATGTGACTGTATTTAGAGATAAAGTCTTTTTTAAATTTTTTTTTTATTTTAAAGAGGGTAAGATTAAACATAAAAAAACAGATCATAAGGAAACAATTTTAAGAAACATGGATTTCAAAGCAAGTCCACTGGAGATCTTATTGTCTCTAGTTTTCTTCCAAATAGTTGTCCCCATCTTCACACACATTGAATACATACTGAACGTTATAAACTAATCTAATCATAACAGGATGATGAAGGCTTTTTAGGTCTTCAAGACCTGACATTGGGAAAATCAATAATGACTTCCATAACATCTCTCATTCTCTTCAAAGTGGCTGTCCTTATCTTTACGTTTGCTGAAATTGAACATAAGGGACTAGACTACTATCACTCTGAACAATGAATAATAGTATTGCTAGATTTTATATCATAATGCTACAGAATTAGCACTGGGTATCTTAGTGTCTCTTCAGAGTATCTGTTCATTATATCATGCATTATATAATCTGTTCCTGTAAACTGTTTAGCAATTCTCCCCATGTGTGAATCTCTACATGTATATCTATCCTTTCTGTATTATAGGGAAAAATAGATCAAAACAAGACAATAAAACAAATTCCTAGAAGAACATGAAACGAAAAAAAACACATAAAACCACAATATTAGGTGATCTATAGTAGTTACTATGGAGATAAAGTCTTTAATTAGGTAAGTAAGGCTACATGAGATTATAAAATGGGGCCCTAATCTTATAGGACAGTTGGTAATGGATCCCAGAAGTCTCCCCACCTGTGCACTCAAAGAGGCTCCATATGCCCAGAGCAAGATGGCAGCACCCACAATTCAAAGGAAGAGGTCTCATCATAAAACCTATCTTTCCATATCCTTCCTTTCCAGAACTATGAGCAATAAATGTTTGTTGTTTAAGCCACTCATTATGTGATATTTTGTTACTGTCAGCACTAGAAAAATAAAATAGATACTGTTATATGTAGTGGCCCCCAAAGCCTCATGTGTTGGAAGGTGATTGGTTTATGGGCCGTGCTATAGTTAACTTGCTGGTAGGAGGTGGAGTCTGATGGGAAAAGGCAGGTCACTGGAGGCATGACCTGGAAGGATGTATCTCCCTCCCCACTTCCTGCCTTCTCTTTGCTTCCTGGGCACCATGGCATGAGCAACTTTCCTCTATAGGAGCCCTTTCTACTACATTTGTTTATGTGTTTGAGCCTACCAACCAGGGTCTAAAACTTCTAAAACTGTGAGCCAAAATGAACTTCCCTCCTTTAAATTGTAAGCATTGAGCATTGTGTCTCAGTGACCAAGACAGGTTTCATACATTCAAAAATCCTGTACTATTACTTTCATTCATGTATTTGTTCATCCATTTTATAAACACTAAAAGAGCAGCTACTATGGATGAACAAAGATCTAATGACGCTGACGATGCCCTGAGGAGGCTGAAAATGAGAAAGACACTTTCTGAAGTTTGACTCAAGGGCCATGTCCTCATTAGCAGCATTTTAAAAATTGAAATACAAATTGTGTACATTTATGGTGTACGGCAAAATGTCTTGATATATGTACGCATTGTGCAAAGACTAAATCAAGCTAATTAATATATGCATTATCTCACATATTTACCACTTTTGTGATGAAAACACTTAAAATATCTCAGCAATTTTCAAGTACATATTATTGTTATTAACTAAAGTTAGCATGGTATGAAATAGCTCTGCTGAACTTGCTCACCCTGTAAAACTGAAATTTTGTGTCTTTTAACCAACATCTCTCCCTGACCTGCCCTCATACCAGTCTCTGATAACTATCGTTCCAGTCTCTGCTCCTAGAAGTTTGAGTTTTAAGAGCATTCTTACTTTAAAAGACACACCTGGGGACAAGATTTAAGGTTGCTGTTGGTGTCTTGTTCTTAGGAAGGCAGCAGCAATGACATGACCTGGCTCCTGCCCTCTTTACACACTTCCTGACACTCTTCTGTATGTTCTGCTTATTAATTCCAGAGAAATGCATTACATTCCTGAAGAGTTTGGATTTCTTCATGCAGAATTGATTGGCCTTGTAACTGTCCTGATATCATTTTGACACCTCTACTGTAGTTCACAGTTGAATGTTCACACATCTGCTTCCAGAAACAGACTACAGGGTCTTTCTTTAACTTTTTCCTTCATTTAGTACATAGAGTTTCTTAGAGTTGGTGCTCTATAAGGGTAAAGGAAAGAATAAGATTCCTTTCAAAGTGTAAATCCTATTAGGATAATCCCTTGCAAAATTACTTCATAAATCAGATATCCATCATTTATTTTTCAACATTTCAAGAAGACACAGTATAAAGGATCCTATTCCTTAGCAGGAGGACAATTCATATACATTTCTATAATGTGGACATTAGGAATATATTTGGCTATTAAAAAATAATAAAACAACTGTAAGAGCCTCAACTAGAAGAGAAACCAAGTCTTCCCTTGAAGCAGGCTCTGTCATGCAGATTGGAAAGAGCCTCAGTCAGAAGAGAAAGCATGCCTTCCTGTGAGCCAGCCAATGTGTGGGCTGAAAAACCAGAAGAGCGTGTTCCCCATCCCCCACTGATTCAGTGGACTTGGGGTGAGCGGACAGCAGCTGAGGAGAAGGGAATAGCTTGATGCTTCTCATGTGGGGTTGACTCTGCAGGCCTGGGGCTGGTGGTCAGAGCACTACCTGGAGGGTGGCAGTGTGCATTCTGTCAGCTGGTGAGGGATTCTAATGTTTTGCTCCATCTTACTGTTTTATTTACTGTTTTGTGTCTGGTAACCTGGGCAACTATTTTGAAGATAACAGTGTGCAGTACTGTTCTCACTGTTCTGTTTTGTTCTGACTTATTATTTAGTTTTATCCCATGTTATGCTTTGACTGGTCTTATTCTGTTTTGGTTTGTTTGATTTTGCTACGTGTGATGGTATGGACAAGTATTGTGAAGATAACAAAATATATTATGGTAGCCATTGTTGATTTTCTATATTCCTATTTTGAGTTCTGTACCCACTTTCACTGCTGTGTTTTGATTGGCTTTATTCTGTTTTGTTTTGTTGGGTTTTAGTCTCAAAAAAAAAAAAAAAAAAAAAAGAAAAGAAAATTAAAGTCCCCAAATAACAGAGATTTAAGAGAGACAGAAGTTTTATTTTTATTCATATATATGATTTCAGAGAAAAGTATCTACCAGGGGCAGTCAAAGATATGGTGAATGCTTAAACTAAAAAATCTTATCACAGTAAAAGACACATTGCCA